GAAATTTAATTGACAAACAAGAAACCGGAAGTTAGTTGCACCAGCGAGAAGTGTGAGAAAAGAAATTGTTAGCAAAGTAGTTGGGAGCTACATCTATGTCAACCCTGTTGCCAATCTAGCACTGTATTTAAATTCATAAAGTCTAGGTACCATAGAGGAAAGCTCATCACTACAATTACCATGAAGGTATTTGCTGAAAAGGCAGAGGAAGTCTACGTTACGACGGTTGGAAAGGGACTGAAACCGAGATGTCAAGTCAGGACCAATAACATTGCAGATTATTCTTTGGATTTGATCAATAATCTCTAAATATATAGCACAAGAACCAGACCAGATGTGACAGTAAGGATTAGTGGTAGACTTATATGTAAGTTAGATTCTGATGAGAGAAATTGTCTAATATGGCATATTGAACCAACTTCTTAGCTGAAGACTTAGAAATTGATCCAATATATTCTATGCACGTCATGTCAGCTTTAAAAGTTCGCCTGAGAAGGCACAATGAGTCACTCTCCTGGGGATTAGCACCATCTATGCTGATGGAAGGTAACAAAAAATATAGTCACCAAGTTGTGATAAGCAAAATGTTTTGAGTTTTCTGTTTCGTTTGTCCCTACGAACTAACGTGTGCCTTACATAATCGTCACTTTTTTATGTCATGTTAATATCGCTAAAAAGTTATTTGAAAATAAAATAAAGAAATATATTGTTAAAGTTTGAATGCTTGCCAGCCCTGACATTCAAAATAACAACTAAAATGGAACACTCAGTTATTCAAAGAACGAACAATTATTTCTTTTCAAGTTGGGATCAACATCGATTCCATGAGGTCAATGACACATTTCAGAATGTTAAAAATCAAGTTACTCGTCGATTGAGTGCCAATTGTGCTTCTTGTTTTTTTTTTTAAGTCGAACGCAAGAATCCTATAATTTAAGAAATAAAAAGACCTGTTAAATATTATCAAAATGTCATATGGTTTCAGCTGTGAAATATAATTCTAACAAAACAACAGAGGAAACTAAACCCGGAGTAGCATGGTAAATTACGTGTAAAGAATAAAATAAATCGCAAACATGCTAGTCAATATTAGAAATCTTTTAAAAGATCACCGAACGCATCGCTTGCACTATAAATGTCAAGCAATCAATAATAATGACGTTAGTTAATTAAATTGTTCGCTTGCTAAATGCTCACACCAGTCGTATCTGGTTGGCTCACACAGGAGACTGATGACAAATTTCTTCTATAATGTCGCACAGTATTCGAGCTGTATTCAGCAAAGCTATAGTACGAATAGTCTAAACTGTTCTTTTTATTTTCATTACCTCTTTTTTCCCCGAAACTCTTCTGCTCCTAGTGCTCCTATAACGAAAGGCATGACTTCCACTGTTATGTTTCACATCTGGAATAAGACATGGTTAATCTGATAGGTTCTATAAAGTCAAGTTGGCAGCTGATAGTAAAAATTACCTCCAATCTGTTGTTAACTGGGGCAAGAAATGACCATAAAACTAAGCTAAACAAAGAATAGTATTTTGTGCTGTTATGTAATATCAATCTTCTTATATAGAAATTAATACTGGACAATCTCCTCGCAGATGTAGAGACTTGGGGCAACAGAAATGTGGTTCTCAAGACATATACTTGGAATATCATGGGTTGAACGTGGGGAAAGACGAAGTGTTAAGGAAAAATGGAAATAAAACGGACAAATATTCGTAGAAACAGAAACAATTGAAATTTCTGAGATGCCTAATGAGGAAAGAGGACTTGGAAAATATGACACTCAGAGGGAGAAAGGAGGAAGTAGTGAATAACATACCTAATGAGCTTTGGTAAATGGTTGGCAGAACAGGAGCGATAGCAAAAGTACTAATCTTTCTTTGAGCTTCAAAAAATAAGAAATTGTGGAGGGCATTGATCGCCCACGTTTTGGAAGAATATGGCATATAGAAAACGAATGCGAAGGGGTATCGATTATCTTCAGGTTCCCCATTCCCTTATACGAAACTCGCCTTTGTTAAGTATAACAATCTGAATTCCGTTTCTAGAAAATTCAAATCAATTGATTTTAAACACTCGGAAACGATTATTTTAATATCCCTGAAAATGGTAGAAAGCCGACTCGATCTGTATGATGCTTGTAATATAAATATGATTTCGATAAATAATCCAATGAGAGAAGCCGATTATCTTGAATCATAGAACTTGCGTTGAGATTAGGCTTATATCTGTAATGTATTTTTAGTATCGATAGCCAACAGGAAAACAATTCAGTGGTGATTCAATCGAGTGGAAGACATTCGGTTTGGTTTTCTCCTTCGTTCATTTCGTTTTTCCTTTCTTCTCCCTTTATCTCTCATTCTTCCCCCGTTTCTCCTCGTCTGTCTCTGTTTTCCCACGATTCTCTTCTTCTCTCACTCTCACTTCCATTGTATCTCTTCCTTGCTCTATCTCTTCATCTCTCGTCATTTCGTCTCTCCCTCACTATTCCTCTGTTTCTCTGCGTCTTTCTCTCTCTTCCTCTGTATCTCTCCCACTATTTCCCTCTTTCTCTGTATCTCTCTCACTATTTCCCTCTTTCTCTGTATCTCTCTCACTATTTCCCTCTTTCTCTGTATCTCTCTCACTATTCCTCTCTTTCTCTGTATCTCTCCCACTATTCCTCTTTTTCTCTGTATCTCTCTCACTATTTCCCTCTTTCTCTGTATCTCTCCCACTATTTCCCTCTTTCTCTGTATCTCTCCCACTATTCCTCTCTTTCTCTGTATCTCTCCCACTATTCCTCTCTTTCTCTGTATCTCTCCCACTATTCCTCTCTTTCTCTGTTTCTCTCCCACTATTCCTCTCTTTCTCTTCGTCTCTTTTTCTCTTCCTTCAAATCTCCTCATCTCTCCGTTTCTCACTGTCTCCCTCTGTTTCACTGCGTATCACTGTTATACTTTATCTTCCACTTTTACTCTTCGTCTTTCTCACTTCCTCTCTTTATATTCGTCTCTCTCTTCGTCTCACTCTCTTTTTTCTTTTGTTTGATATTGATCTCTCCCTGTCTCTTCCATATGTTTATCTTTGTCTCTCTTTGTATCTCTCTCTCTCCCAACCAATTGCTTCGTCTCACTCTCTTATTCTGTTTTCCATCGTCTCCCTCTCACTTTTTCTCTTAGTCTCTCTTTCTGTCTCCTGCTGTTTCTCTTAGTCTCTCTCATTGTCTCACTCTCTCTCACTTTCTTTCAACCTATGTTTCACTTCCATTATATCTCTTGTATTGTTTCTCTTCATCTTTCTCTCTAGCAACTTCTCATCTCTCACTCTCTTCCTCTGTTCGTCTCTCTGTTTCTTCCTCTGTTCTTCTTCGTCCCCTCTCTCTCTCTCTCTCTCTTGCTGTTTCTCTGCGTCTCATTCTCTCTTCCTCAGTTTCTCTTCCTCTATCTCTCACTTGAACTCTTCATTTCGTCTCTCTCCCAATCATTCACTTGTCTCTGTCTCTTTCTCTCACTTCCTATGTTTCTCTTCGTCTATCTGACTCCCGCTGTCCTCTTCGTCTCTCTCTCTCTCTTTCTTACTCCCTCTCTCTGTATCCCTTCATTTCTTCTCCTCTCTCCCTCTCTAGTCCCCTGTATCTTTCTTTTCTCTCTGCTTCTCTTCCACTCTTTTTGTCTCTCTTCCTTTGTTTCTCTTCGTCTTTCTCTCTCTCTTCCTTTGTTTCTCTTTGACTCTCGTTTTATTCTTCTATTTCTCTCTCTCTCTTCCTCCGTTTTTGCTTCTTTCTCTCTCTTCCTCCGTTTCTGTTCCTTTCTCTCTTTTCTTCTCTTTCTCTTCGGCTTTCTGTCTCTTCTTGTTTCTCTTCTCTCTCTCTTCCTGTTTTTTTGTATCTCTTTCTCTCTCTTCCTTTTTTTTCTTCCTCTAGCTTCTGTTTTATTCCTCTCTTTGGCTCTCTCTTCCTCTGTTTCCTTTTGAAAGTCTATCTCTCTCTTCTACCGTTTCTTTTCGTCTCCCTCTTTCCTTTCTTTCTCTTCGTCTCTCACTCTCTTCTTCTGCTTCAATTTGTCTCTCTCTCTCTCTCTGTTCCTGTGTTTCTCTCACTATTCCTCTGATTCTCTTCACTCTCTCCGTTTTCCTCTGTTTCTTTACTTTTCTCTCTTCGTTTTCCTCTATTTCACTTCGTCTCCCTTTCTGACTTGTTCTGTTTCTCTTCGTCTGTCTCACTTGCTGTTTCACTGTATATATTTATCTCTTCCTCTCTTTATTTTCCTCTGTTTCTCTCTCTGTCAATCTTCCTTTCGTCTCTTTCGTCTCTCTTCCAATCTTTCGTCTATTTCTCTCACATTTTTCGTATTACTTGTTCTCTCTTCCTCTGTTTCTCTTTGTGTGTCTCTCTCCCTCTGTTTCTCTTCGTCTCTCTCTCTTCCTCTGTTTCTCTTCGACTCTCTCTCTCTCTCTCTTCCTCTGTTTCTCTTTGTCTCTCCCTCTCTTCCTCTGTTTCTTTTTGTCTCTCCCTCTCTCCCTCTGTTTCTCTTTGTGTGTCTCTCTTCCTCTGTTTCTCTTTGTGTGTCTCTCTTCCTCTGTTTCTCTTTGTCTCTCCCTCTGTTTCTCTTTGTCTCTCCCTCTGTTTCTCTTTGTCTCTCCCTCTCTTCCTCTGTTTTTCTTTGTCTCTCCCTCTCTTCCTCTGTTTCTCTTCTTCTCTTCCTCTATTTATCTTCGTCTCTCCCTCTTTTCTCTTCGTCTCTCCCTCTTTTCTCTTCGTCTCTCCCTCTTCCCCTTTTCTCTTCGTCTCTCCCTCTTCCCCTTTTCTCTTCGTCTCTCCCTCTCTTTCACTTTTCTCTTCGTCTCTCCCTCTCTTCCCCCTTTTCTCTTCGTCTCTCCCTCTCTTTCTCTGTTTCACTTTGTCTCTTTCTTCATACATTTCTCTTTCTCTCTTTCCTTAACCCTAACCCTTCTTCTATTTCTCTTCGTCTAACTCTGTCTAACATTGTCTAACTCTGTCTTCCGCTTTCTTAATGTGCTTCTCTTTGTCTCTTTCTCTTCCTCTGTTTTTCTTTGATTCTCTCTCTCTCTCTCTCTCTCTCCTACTGTTTCCTTTCATCTCTCTCTATTCCTCTCATTCTCTTCGTCTCTCACCCTCTTCTTCTGTTTCGCTTTGTCTCTCACTCTTTCTGTTCGTCTATCTTCCTGTGCTTCTTTTCATCTCTCTCTCTCTCTCTCTCTCTCTCTCTCTCTCTCTCTCTTCCTGTGTTTCTCTTCGTGTCTCTCTTACTCAACCTCTGTTTCTCTCTCTCTCTCTCTCTCTCTCTATTTCTTCATCTGTTTCTCTTTGCATCTCATTCTTACTGTTTTGCTGTGTCTATTTCTCTCTCCCTCTGTTTCTCTTAATCTCTCTCTTCCTTTCGTCTCTCTCTCACTCTTTTTTAATCTCTCTCTCTTCCTCTCCTTCTCTTCCTCTTCCTCACTTCGTCACTCTTTCTCTACTTCTGTCTCTCTTTGTCATTCTCTCTCACTTCATCTTTCTCTTTCTTTTGTCACTCCCTTTGTTTCTCTTATTCTTTCTCTCTTTCTTACTCTTTCTCTTCATCACTTTCGCTCTTACTCTGTATCTCTTCGTCGAGATCTGTCTAACACAGTCTAAATCTGTCTTCTTATTTTCTTCACGTTTCTCTCTCTCTTCTTCTGTTTCTCTTTGACTCTCCCTCTCTTATACTGTTTGTTTTTGCCTCTCTTTCTCTCTCTCCCTCTCTCTCTCTCTTCCTTTCATTATCTTCGACTCTCACTTTTTCTGTTTCGCTTCGTCTCTCTCTCTGTCTTCCTGTCTTTCTCTTCATCTCTCTACGTCTTCCGCTGTTTCTTTTCTCTCCCTTTCTTCCTCTATTACTCTTCGTATCTCAAGCTGTTTCGTTGTGTCTATTTCTCTCTTCCTCTGTTTTTCTTCATCTTTCTCTCTCTCTCTCTCTTCCTTTCGTCTCTCTCTCTCTCTCTCTTCCTCTGTTTCTCTTCTTCTCTCTCTCTCTCTCTTCTTATGTTTCTCTTCGTCTCTCTCTCTCTCTTCCTCTGTTTCTCTTCGTCTCTGTCTCTTCCTCTTTTTTCTTCGATTCTCTCTCTCCCTCCCTTTTGTTTTTCTTCCTCTCACTGCCTCTAACTTAATTTTAATTCCCATCACTTCTTTCTCTTCCTTTGATTCTCTTAATAGCTCTAACTCTTTCTCTGCTTCTCTTCGTCTCTCTATCTATCTTCCTCTTTCTTTCTCCTTCTATTTCTCTTTACCTCCCTCTCTCTGTTTCTCTTCGTCTCTCTCTCTATGTTTCTCCTAATCTGTTTCTATTTCTCTCTCTCTCTCTTCCTGTTTCTCTTTGTCTCTATCTCTTTTCTTTTCTCTTTGTCTCTATCTCTTTTCTTTTCTTTTTTTCGCTGTCTCTCTCTCTCTCTCTCCCAATGTTTTTCCCTGAGTCACTCTGTCTCTTTTTTCTTATGCTTCTCTTCGTCTCGTTCCTCCCTCTCTCTTCTTCTGTTTCTCTTCCTCTCTCTCTCTTCTTCTGTTTCTCTTCCTCTCTCTCTCTTCTTCTGTTTCTCTTCCTCTCTCTCTCTTCTTCTGTTTCTCTTCCTCACTCTCTCTTCTTCTGTTTCTCTTCCTCACTCTCTCTTCTGTTCTCTTCATCTATCTCTCTTCCTATGTTTGTCTTTGTCACTCTCTCCCTATGTTTCTCTTTCTCTTCGTATTTCTCTCTCTCTTTTCTCTTAGTCTCTCTTTTTTCCTGTATATCTTCTTCTCTCTCTCTCTCCTCTCTCTCCCTTTGTCATTTTCTCTCTTGGTTCAGACTTTTTATTGTTTTTCTTGCCTTTCTCTTTTTTATTTATTTTCATTTTCTCTCTTTTTCTTATTTTTGTCTCTCTTTCATTGACTTTCGGCACCCCTCGTTCTCACTTTAATATTCATCGCTCTCTCCATCATTTTCTCTTTCTATTCCCTCTCATTCTTTCCTTTGTCTTTCCTCTATCTATTCCTTCTCTATATATTCCTTTCTCTCACACACTTTCCTGATCATTCTATTGCCAGATCTATATTTTTACATTAAGCAGATGCTTTTGCATGTGTATATATAAGCAGTAAATTGCTAAACTGGTGAATTGTGGCAAAAGTTATTGAGTTAGCGTAACCATGAAATCGCTAACAAAAAATGCAAAAAAAAGTCTGGATAATTTAAAAGAGAATTGAAATATTTCGGGGCACCGTTCAAAATGGAAATGGAAAATAAGATTTTTCAAGGAAGATAAATATTAAATGCAAATTATAGAGTTCTATCCATTCTTGTTCTTTTTTATTTTCATATGTGTAAAAGAAATATCGGCTGCTAAAAGCAATTAGACTTTTGTACATGTTACACAGATTATAGTATATTCTCCGAGAGAGAAAATTCAATGATCATTGTTTTCCCATTCATAATTTTCTCTGGAAAGGTGACCTAAGTTTATCTTGTATGTTCTAAATAAATGCGCTGGTTAGCATAGATTATCGTTCATATGAATCTATAACAATTCATCTGTTTTCGAAAGAGGTCAGGTTTATTCATTGAAATTTGTGCCTTGGGAAAACACACAGATTGTCTTTCATGTTCCTTTTCTGTATTTCTGAAATTTTATTCTCTTCATATGTTTTATTTTCAGAAAATGTTAGTGTTAGAATTCATTGGTGAAACAGTTACTATTTAGAAAATTCACTGAATAAAAATCTCTAACAAATAGAAGGTAATATAAACGGACTTGGATAAACAGATCTAGATAGAGCTAGATAGGTAATTAAACAGAACAAGATAGGTAATTAAATTAGGCGAAATAGCGAATCGATATAGATAAACAAAGCAGAATAGATATACAGTGCTGTTCGATAAAATGACTCACCTGATTTTTTTACTAAATGTTCTCTTCTCCTATGAAACGAAAGTTGAGCTAAATTCAAAGGATAAGCGATCTAAAAAAGAAGCTTTGAAAGCTCTTTGAATTTAGCAGTAAGTATAGTCAACTATCCATTCAGTATAATATTCTGGGGATGCTTTTCTTTTCATGGAACTGGTTTCTTGAAACCTATTGAAAAGACCCTCAGGAGCGAGCAGTACAAGAGAAGTTTAGAGTCTTGTCTGCTCCCTTCTGCTGAAAGGGTGCAAATCGACCCCACCAAGCTCATTTTTATGCAGGATAATGTTCCCTGTCACAAATCAAAATTGATGAAGGAATACTTTGATGAGAAGCAGGTGAGCGTTATGACATGGCCGCCCCAATCTCCTGACCTCAACCCCATAGAAAACCTATAGAGCATTATAATGTACAAGTTCTCGAGAAAGCAGTTGAGAATGTTGCTCAACTGCTTTCTCGACAGCGTGTACTTTATAATGCCCCATAAGTTTTCTATAGATAGATATAAACAGGCTGAGATAGATAGATAGATATAAACAGGATTAGATAGATAGATAGATAGATAGATAGATAGATAGATAGAAACAGGATTAGATAGATAGATAGATAGATAGATAGATAGATAGATATAAACAGGATTAGATAGATAGATATAAACAGGATTAGATAGATAGATATAAACAGGATTAGATAGATAGATATAAACAGGATTAGATAGATAGATAGATATAAACAGGATTAGATAGACAGATGGATATAAAAAGGCTTAGATAGATAGATGGATATAAACAGGCTTAGATAGATAGATAGATAGATAGATATAAAAAGGCTTAGATAGATAGATATAAAAAGGCTTAGATAGATAGATAGATTAATGACCTAGATGGATAGAGTACATACATAAATAGACAGATACATAGATAGATATAAAACATAACTAGAACGAGTATAGAACAGACCTAGGAAGACAGATATTAAATACATAATAATACGAAATATAGATGCTTCACCTCTCCTCATGATAAAATATTTTACAATGAGCCTATCTACAAAATGGATTTATTTGAGTAATGCGATGTGCTAAAATTACTCTCTTGAACCCAATTCTCAAAATTTGACCCAATAGAATATATATGCCATGACATTTTATCGAATTAACCAAGAAATACGAGTTAGTACTGAAAATTTTATCGAACAATCTAATTGTTCAGTACTATGAAGTAGAGAAAACATATGTCTAAAAAATATATAATTCAGCACCTACATACAAGAATCTTACATTGGTAGTTTGCCTGTGTTTAACATCATCTAGTTCTTGTGGCGAAATACACAGAATTTCCGGATCCAAGGTTTTTGTCGGTGTTTGCAAAGAGTTCTCAAGTTATAGTCTGGAATCTGGAACCATTAAGTGACAATCTGACCATGTCTTAATTCCGCTAACATCATATCATCAATTCTTGTTCTTTTTATTACTTAACAAAATCCTTCTTCTTCTTCTTCAGATACAAGCCAAAGCACCTATCATGTTTACAATCTCTCTCTCTCACCCTCTCCCCACCACAAGAAACGCCATCTGTGCCTAGCACGTGTGCGTTATGGGTGTGCTTATGGGTAGGTTTGTGGTTTTAAGTTGGTAGGGTAGATGGGTGAGAGAAAACCCAATTGCTCGAGTGGCTATATTTGATCATTCCGACATGTTTTAAAGTAGACTGGGATGATAACACTTGACACATAATTATGGCATTATGTTATACTGGAACACACCTATTCTATAGTTAATAGACTCTCCCACCTATAATAAGTAGTAGTAGTAATAATAACGAGTCAGTCGCTCAGTGAGTTGCTCAGTCAGTCGATGTCGGACGAACGTTAGTTGGATATTAAAGTATCAGCCACCACAACTAGATTGCTGCATCATTACCTCTTATATCAAGTTCCTAACGTTTTGTACGTCGAACCTATTTTAGGACCGACATAGTTTCACAATAGAGGCTTGTATTTCACTATTCTACAACACATTAACATCATGTATAAATACGATTTGAACATGGGATAAATATAAATTATAAATAACCTCTACTTAACTCTATCGTTAGTAATGACAGAAAAATGGCGTCTGACTGCAACGTCTGGGCTGGGGCTTTCCAAACTTTCTTTTCCAGCATTGGCAGACATGAAAAACGTTTTTGCTGACTTGTGGATGATGGATTATTTCTCACCATACAACACCTTTCCAACTGACGTTTGCTAGCCACTCGTTACTATCTCTATTTTCATGGCAAATGATCAGGCGATCTACATTCTTGATTTCACCAGCCCAGAACATCACAAGGACATGTCAAGCCAGGTGCACCGTGTCTACACTTGCTTCTTCCATTCAGATACCATTGGTAAGGAAGAAGTTTCACAGATCGTCTATTTCAGAATTATAACATTGTTGAAAATATTCACGAGGAGATGATTCTCCGATCACTACAATCCTAATCTCATCCAACCTGACCTCAAATGTTATCGATCCTACATATCCTCAGAATTTTCGCTCGTTTCTTCATCTTCTAATGCTCTTGCGATAACCTTATTTGGTAATTCTCAACCTTGAGTAGTTCAATAATATATATATATATATATATATATATATATATATATATATATATATATATGACCTATATTTATTATATACACGTTGCAAAAATAAAAAAAAATATGACATATGTAATGCTAATAATTCACTGTCTTATCAATATATAAATATATATTAGTATGAGACAAATAACGTATATACTCGCGTATTATGCTACTTTTGAAGACCTTGTGGGAGTTAGCTCCTCCTTAATTCCCTAATTGTTCACTAGGGGTCGCCTCCCTACACTATAAATACTGGGCGACATCTTGCCTCGCTCTCCTTTTTACATTTTGCATTTCAGTGGACACATTTAAAAATGTGATCTCTCGCAGAGATCCGCGTTTTCGTCCACTTGTGGAAAACGCTATGAAACGCACATACATGTACGTACGAACATTCACCAAAATACAAACTATTTACGTTCACACACAAATACAAATGTTGATGTCTTTGTCACTTGTAAATTTGTTGCTTAATACATATATTTGTTAATATATTTGTCTTGTTTAAATCTTCTGTTGAACTCAACTTGAGTCCGCATTTTTCTTGTAACTGGACCTACTAGCAGGAATAAACAGCACGTGTCCCTAACCTAACAATTCACAAACCCAACGATCCACTACAACCTAATTTTGATGTTAATTTTAAGAGGGTCGTTTCATACACGCGATGAAGTTAGTGTATGTACTGCTGGTCCTGGCTACGCCGTTGACGAAACTATATATCCATTCACTGTAATCAAAGCGTACAGCTGTATTTAAAATGAACATGATTTTGATAAAACTTGTATTTTACTTAACTGTATCCAGTAATAATTAATGCATGTCATATTCACATATTAGTATCGTATTATAAAATAAAAGCATAGCGAATATGCATCACTTTCATTGTTTATTTTTATAAGATGTTTAGCTGTTTCTAGTTTGGTTGATTATGGCTATGGTTATGCTTTACGCAACGAATATAACGTTACTAACGATAATTTTATCTGTCTCCTTATGCAATCTTTGAGTTAATTAAGTTAGAAAAGTAAAAGCGAATGAGAAAAAGAGTTTAGTCTATTGTAATTTGATTTCAAAAACAGAAACTCGCATGATACACGCGATACATGAATCAATCATTTTTTTTAAATTGATAATTTAGGGGTCGCACGATACGCGAGATCGCACGTTCCACGTGTATATACGGTATATTAATATCAATATGACATAAATGTTATTTATATATGCACATTATGATATAAATATGTTTGAGAATGTAGTCAGACAACGTCTCAAGATAAATAAAGAACGAATATTGATTTGTTTTTGTTTTTTTACGGTTTGTCAACTATTTGTAAAGCTCGGAAAGTATTTTTAATTTGTAGAAATTTCGGGGTGATGATAATGATTTAATG